GAGGAGGAGGAGGAGGAGCGTCGGCTAGCCTCGGTCCCCCTCCAAGCGGAGGCCAGCGCGCCCGCGGGCGCCCCCCCCCGCGCGGCGGCCAATCCAGGCGTTGCAGTAGATGTTGAACACGTTGTCCCCCTCCTCGAGGAGCTCCATGGGGGCTTCCTGGGCTCCGCCTCCTCCTCCTCCTCCTCCTCCTTCTCCTCCTCCTCCTCCTCCTCCTCCTCCTTCTGCTCCTCCTCCTCCTCCCTCCTCCCGCTCCTCCTCCTCCTCCCTCCTCCCTCCCCGCTCCTTCTTCCTCCCCCTCCTCGAGGAGCTTCATAAAAGGGTTTTCTGGGCGCGGCAAGGGCGGCTGGCGTCGTGTATCGGAAGACCGGGTCGAGTCGGAGCGCGCGTCGGAGGCCTCCCCCCTTCTTCGAGGAGCTCCATCTGTCGGGGGCGGCCAAAAGGGGGGTGTCCAAGAGGGGGGGGTGCAACTCATGACAGGCGGCATGTGCACGGCCCAGCGGGGGGGCCAGGGACGTAATGAAGTAAGAAGAGGCGCCATGAAATCTGGGGAAATATCATGGCCCCCGCCATGATACCCCCCCCCAGCCATCACCCCCCTCTTTTCCGCCCCCGAAACTGAGGGCTTCCTGGGCACGGCCGGCGCGGCCAGCGTCGGGTCGGGCAGGCGGGATCGGATCGGAGCGTGCGTCGGACGGGGCGGCATCGGCGCTGTGTCGGAGTCGAGTCGGATCGGCTGCGCCCGGAAAACCCTGTGAGGGGGGTGTGGTGTCCGAAGCTGTGCCCGAACATCTGCCCGAGAGTGGTCCAAACTGGGGCCCGATGTTTTCCCAACGCGCCAGAATGTGGCAAGAATTCTTGGTTCGGAACCGAAGCTGTTTTCAATTCCGGTCACACTTTCGGTCACACTACGCTTCAAGTCACAATTTCGGGCACGCTTTCGGGCACGATTTATTGCGGTCACATACCTTTTCGGCTGATCGGGGCCGGGCGCCATGACAACGACGCTGGGCAAGCATCGGGCAGCATCGGGGTGCGCCAGTCGAGGACCTCGAAGCAGAAACAACTGCATAACTTTTTTGGCGTCTGGGCGGGTTCCTCGGATCATCGCTGGCCCCCCTTGGCGGCGCCTCTGGCACCGCCACTGGTGCGTTTCGCAAGGAAGGGGACTTCCAACATCAGTCCAATAATGCGTCGGGACCTCAGGAAAGTTTATGCTTATGCGGCGGTGGCAGGGACGACGTCACCGCCGTCGCCCTCGACGTCGACGCGGCATCGTCCTTGCCATCGTCGCCCTTGCCGTCGTCGTCAACACCGTCGTCGTCGTCGTCGTCGTCGTCGTCGTCGTCGTCCTCGTCGTTGCGCGCGGAAGACGGGGCCCGTGCTCGCCAAGGGGCGGGCGGCGAGGGATCCATGAAGCCGAAGAAGGTGCACTGGCCATCACTGGGCGCGGCGGGAGGGTGAGGAGGCAGACATCGAGGAAAACAGCGCGGCGTAAGGAGGCCCTCCCCCTCCTGGCCGCCTCGCCCTGCCCACCGTCCCTCCCCGAGGCAGCCCCCGCGGAGAGGCCCCCCCCGCGAGGCCCCCCGCGGGCCCCCCCTTTTATGGAGGCCCCCCTCCCCCGGCAGGGCCCCGCGTGCCCGCGGAGGCTCGCGCGGGCTCGAGGCCACGGGACGTCCCCAGGTAGGGGGCCAGATGCGAACCCCCCGACTTCTAAGGGGGAGGGTGGGGTTCACTTCGTTCGGGAGCTCCCGAGCAAAGTGAACCCCACCCTCCCCCTCAGAAATCGTGGGGGGCAGGGGTAGGGTTCGCATCTGGCCCCCTACCTAGGGGAACGAACAATGACATACAACAGGGCTGGATCTAAACGTTGTCATGCGTTGTGTTTTCGTTTTGTCGTTCGTTTGGCTCTGCCGTGGTTCCTGTGCCTCCCTGCCAAGACGACACACAAAACAAAACCAAAGCCCAGCAACACAGCGTTTAGGTCCAGCCCTGACATGCAGTGGGGGCCGATCCACAAGAGACCTCCCGCAAGACACCCAACCCTAAGACCCCAGGGCGTCCATTATTTTTGGGGGTGGGAACGTCGCGCTCTCCACAGCAAAACCATCGAGACCCAAGAAACCCAGGGCACCCTGTAGGCAAGCAGGGTGTTTCTTGGCATGGGTCTCCACTGCAAACATACAAAATCGGAGGTCCGCGCGGATGCTTCGGATCGGCGCCGGGGCCCCCCTGGCGCGCTCCGCGCGCCAGGGAGGGGGGTCCGGTGCCGATCCGGGAAATCCGCGCGGACCTCCGAGTTTTTGTGTTTATGCCACTGTTCGTTCCCCCAGTCCTGCCCCGCCCACCTCCCTCCCCAGGCCCCGAACTAGCATTGTGGATCCCATGGCAGTGGACACTCGAACAATCCTATTACTGAATTAAAGATGCGTTTAATATGTGCAAAACATGTTCAACAAATGTTTCAGGCATGTTTATATATATGTGTATATATATAACAATTGAAAATTGGTTCGAGACATATTTGGGACATCTGACAACTATGTTTTACACCCTTACCCTATACTCAGAGCCAGTATGGGGGAGGGGTTGAAAACCCTTGAAGGGGGCAGGCGGAGCTGAGCCCGAGAGGGCTGGCAGGCACATTCCAACAACTGTCGATCGATGCTGACGTGGCGATCGTTTCACGCCAGAGCGCGGGCTGAGGGGGCTTCCAACCCCCGAATTCTTCAAGAATAAGAGGCGCGGCCCGAGCTGGCTGCCTGAGCGCAGCAGAAGACCGAGGCCAGCTTCCTGAGCATACGACCTAGGTCACAAACCACCGAACTTGTTCGACCTCTCCCGAGAGGGAGGGCGTGGTGGGGCCGACTTGAGCCCAGAGGGGGCAGAAAGGGACGGAAGGGGGGACAGGGCGGCTAACAGACTACGACTGGTAGTGTAAATTAAATTTCAATAACAACGATTTACACCCTTATCCTATACTCAGAGCCAGTATGGGGGAGGGGCTGAAAACCCTTGGGGGCAGGCGGAGCTGAGACCGAGAGGGCTGGCAGGCACATTCCAACAACTGTCGATCGATGCTGACGTGGCGATCGTTTCACGCCAGAGCGCGGGCCGAGAGGGCTTCCAACCCCCGAATTCTTCAAGAATAAGAGGCGCGGCCCGAGCTGGCTGCCTGAGCGCAGCAGAGACCGAGGCCAGCTTCCTGAGCATACGACCTAGGTCACAAACCACCGAACTTTTTCGACCCCTCTCAGCCGACCCCACTGGGCCACTGGCCAAAGGCCTTCAAGAGAAAACTGCCGAGCACGGGAAGACACGGGCGGGTGGGAGAGCGAGGCAGAGAAACCTTACATGCTTGTTCAAAACCACGGCCTCCCCCCAAGGACCCCCCTCCCCAGACTTGGCTCGTTATTCGTTAGAGGGGAGAGGGGAGCTGGCCTACGTCGACCCGCACATGCGGACACGCACCTCGCGGTCACGGGCGCTCGCGAGCGCCCCGATGAGGCGCCTGCCGAGCGGCGCCCCCGCACCTGGTCCACGCGCGACGGCGGCGTGCACCGCCTGCCGCGGGCGGCGCCAGAAGGTGCAGCCCTGCTTGATCTGCGCGCCGTCTAGCTCGCTGAGCTCCCCCACCAGCGCGCGGCACTTGGTGCGCCGCTGGAGGCCCGCAGTGGAGGCCCAGCGGCCCCGCCTACGCGCCGCCCCCAGGTCGCCGCTCAGCGCCGCGAAGCGTGCAGCCGCAGCGTGGCGCACGCCGTGCGGCGGCCCCATGGTCTCCAGGCCCACCGCCTTCAGCGTCTTCATCCAGACCCTGCGGAAGCTCGGCTGGGTGAAGGGGGGGACCTGGTCATCAGGCCCCCGATCCTGGACCAGCGCCTTCATCAAGAGCCTCGAAAGCGGCCGCTCCAGCACAGCGCCCTGGTTGGCGCCCGTCTTGGTCTTCTGGCCCATCATGCGGTCGCCGAGCTTGAGGCCCACGCCGCCGTCAGGGGTGAAGCTGACGTGCTTGGCTCGCAGCATCTCCCAGTCCTGCTCACGCAGCCACCCGTCCAACTGCGCGACGCAGGCACTCGCCTCCAGCAGGTGGCCCATCTCCGGCATCCTCGTGATGATCACGCCCATCGCCTGGAAAGGGATCGGGTGGCCCTCGCCCCCGGACTGCATGCGCTCCCAAGACTTCAGCGCTCGATGCGCCGTCGGGAGCTTCCCTCGATGGTCCTCAAAGATGTGCATGAACCCGTTGAAGGCGAGGGAGGCCTTCATGTAGTTGTCGCCCCTCAGGTAGCAGATGTCACTGATGTAGTTCCCCAGCGCGCGGTCCCTCTGCTCCAAAGTCGTGGACGGTACCTCCCCACGACTGCAGTTAACGAGGAAGGCCCTGACCTCCCGCTCGTAGACAACATTGGTGGAGTCGTCGGCGGCGTGGACCACCAACCTGTTGTTCCAGCGAGGGCGGTCCAGCTTGGCCTGCTGCCAGGCGCGTGCGCCACGCTTCTGCAGCGGCGGCGCATACGCCCCTCTCCGCGCACCGTTGACCACATGCAGCGTCACCACCAGCACGACCCAGAGGGACAGCCCGCCGCTGCTCCTCGCAGCCGAACCAGCCTCTCCGCCCGCGGCGGCCCAGCAGGACGCCCTGCAGCTGCTTCTCGCAGTCGCCGTAGCTCCCGATGTGGTAGCAGTGGCAATCCACGTCGCCGAGGTAGACGCCCGCGGCCGCCACGTTCTCGCTTGGGAGGCCGAGGCCTCCCTGCTGAGAAGGTAGTCGAGCCCCAGACGCGCCGCCACGGTCCCGCGGATCACCGCCGCCGTTCCAGCACCTCAGGCAGCGGCCGCACCTCCTGTGGCGTCGTCCTCATCCTGTGGGCCTGCTTGGTCTCGTCCGCCGCCCCGGTGTCGACGCCTCTGCTCGGGCCATCCGCCATGTTCCACTGGCTGGGCACCCGCCGGCAGTAGCCCCTGATGCCCAGCGCGAGCGCGATGCCACGGGCCACTCGCGCCAGCCTCAAGAGCGACGTCGCCGACGAGCGCCCCTTCTGCAGGACGCCCATGGAGACTACAGAATCCGTCATGATCACCACTCGCTTGTGCCAGCATCTCGAAGATCTCGCCAGATGCCGAAGCACGCTGACCACGCACCTCAGCTCCAGCACGTCGTTGTGCTCCTCCGCCTCCCAGCGCCCCCTGCCCCTGAAGAGCTCGTGCCGCCTCGATCGACTCGTTGACCCAGGAGGCGCCGATGGGCATCACCTGACCCCTGCTCCGCACCGCCCGAGGTCGTCCCCGTCGAAGCCGCACCTGCGCCCCCTTCGGCACCTCGCTCCAGGCGTAGTCGAGCTGCTCCAACTTCGCGGCGTAGCGCTCCAGAAAGGCGCCCCCGTAGCTGACGGCGACGCCCGAGGTCAGCGCGAAGTCGTCCCACAGCCCGTCGCTCTCCACGAGCCTCGCCAGGTTGGTCAGCACCACCAGCTCGCCCACCTCCAAGGAGAAGACGCCCTCCACCTTGGTAAGCCTGTCCCAGGGGGCCCACTCCAGTACCTTCAGCGCGACGGGCCCCAAGATAACGAAGCCGAGCCCCTCGCGGACCGCGAGCCTGGCGACCTCGATGGCCACCTGCGCGATGTAGTTGTCCTCGTCGACCTTGCGCTGCAACCCCTCGCTGAGCCCCTCGCAACGCCAGGGCGTGCGTGAGTTCCTGTAGTAGTCGTCTGAGAAGGTATCCAGGAACAAGGTAAGGTGGCAGATCCAATACCACCGCCTCCGCAGACGGCTGAAGAGACGCTCTACCACTGCCACGTCCATCAACTCTTCCATACGAACGTCCTCCATCCAAGCGCTCACCTAGTGCCCGAGGTCCCCCTTCAGGTCCAGCAAGCCCTGTTGCAGCGTCAGTATACCAGGACGTCCTTCGCTCGGGTGCATCATCTCGTCCTCCTCCAGGCCCTCCTTGCTTACCTCGTCCTCTATCTCCGGGTGCGTCTTCCCGACTCGAATTTGCCGCGCCTGCTCGGCCCCTCGGCCCAGCTCGTCCCTGATCTCCTCCACGCTTGACTTCGTCGCGACCGCTCCGAAGCCCTCGCCGCTCGCGCCGGTCATGTAGACCGTCGTGTGCCAGTCCAGCTCCAGGTTCGCCTCGAAGAAGATGGCTAGCGACGCCGGAGCCTTCAACTCGTCCAACACGGCGACGGGGAGACGCCGCGGCTTCTCGGCGTCCTCGCCCGCAAAGGTCCCGACCCATCGATAGCAGGCGTCCAGGATCGCAAAGGCAGGTCGGCAAACCAACGTCGCCCACGCCCAGCAGCCCACAACCGTAGCCAGTTCCCGCGGTCGAACGGACCGAGTCACAGCAATCGCCTCGGTGCAGATGATCAGCTCCTCCATCTTCTCGGGGTAGACTTTCAACGTAGAGGGTCGTCCAGATATGGTAAGTCCAAGCCCTC